CTCACACAAATTCCCTTCCTTCCGTCCTTCCTTCCTCCTTCCTTCCTACAATTCAGAAGTCACTGCAAGATACTCCTTCCCCCTTCCTTCCTCTTTCTCACACAAATTCCTTCCTTCCTTCCTTCCTTCCTTCCTTCCTTCCTTCCTTCCTTCCTTCCTTCCTTCCTTCCTTCCTTCTTCCCTTCCTTTCTCACAAATTCCCTTCCTTTCTTCCACCCTTCCTCTTTCTCACACAAATTTCCTTCCTTTCTTCCACCCTCCCCCTCTCTCCTTCCCTCCCTCCCTTCCTTCTTCATTCCTCTTTCTCACACAAATTCCCTTCCTTCCGTCCTTCCTTCCTCCTTCCTTCCTCCCTGCCTTCCTCCCTCCCCTCTCCTTTCCTTTCCCACACAAATTCCTTCCCTCCCTTCTCCCTTTCTCTCCTTTTTTTGAGTCTCTCTGGTGCCCATCATCCCCTTCCTCGAACCTGACCTTCCAGCCTCTTGTTTCAGGGAGAGGAAGATGGAGGAGCTGCTGGACCAGCAAGAGGAATCCAGGAATTTGGAGCAACAAGTGCGAAAGATTCAACAGGAGGTGCTTTTCTCTATAGCAAAACCTCACCGTAACAGGCTTCGTTGGCCTGACTTTAGAAACCCTGAGTTTAAAGGGGTGGTTTGTAAGTCGAGGAGGGCCTGCGATGGTCTGTAGGAATGGCCTTGGGAGATGAAGAAGGCTCAAAGCTAAGGGGAACATTGGATAAGGGGCAGCCGAACCCTCAGCTGTGTAATGGGTGGAGAAAGACGCTCAGAAGAGATTGGTGGAGAGATTTGGTACTTTCAGACTTATCATCTTACAACAAAGTAGAATTAGTCCATCTGGCTGTGTCTCCTCTCTGGACAATCTTGGAAGGCTAATTATTATAGATAGTCCTCAACTTATAACCATTCTGTCAACTCATAAAATATTTCTCTGGTCTTTTAGAGTTGCCAACAGAAAGGAGCCATGCGGCAGCTTGAAAATCAAAAGCGCATTCCATACATAGTGGTTCAAAGATAGTAACTAGGTGACTGAAGTTTCTGCCGTGCAAATATCTAACTGGAGAGCATGATGGGTGACTCTGGGCTATGGAGGTGTCCCATTGGAGAATATGAATTATGATACACCCAGGGGGTGGGGGGAAAACCAGGGTCAAAGGTGACAGTGAATGTTGTGTCTCAGAGTCGGCTACACCCAGGCACTGCTGGCATGGTTACTCCTAATAAATCCTTTTGAAGTTTTTGAAGTTTGGCTCGAGACTCCTGATTTAAAAAGGGGTAACTGCCGGAATCCTGTTTAGTGACTGTTTGAAGTTACAATGGCACTGAAAAATGTGACTTTGGACTATTTTTCACGATGGTTGGAGCATCCCCGTGGTCATGTGGCAAAAATGCAGGCGCTTGGCTCATGTTTATGACGGCTGTAGTGTCCCAGGGGCTCACGCGATCCCTTATTTGCGACCTTCGGATAAGCAATGCAAATGGGGAAGCCGGGTTCGCTTAATGACTGGGTGTGACCAACTGAACTGCTGTGATTCCCTTCCCTGCGGCAAGAAAGGTCGCAAAACGGGGCAGTGCTCACTTAACAACGGCCTCGCTGAGCAACGGAGACTCTGGGCCCAATGGTGGCCGTCGTTCGAGGACCAACTGTATCTTCAAGGACCCGTTTAGCTATCTGGTGGGATCGAGAAAAAGATGGGGGCGGGAACTGGCAAACAACCAAGACGATGTTGGAACGACAGGGTGTGTCTTGACATCACCAGCCAGTATGACGTCATTGGGATGATGTCATCTCTAGTTTGCTCTTTCTTACCCAGAACCGCACGCTGGCAAGTGAGGCGCGCCAAGCCAGGCTATACCAGGACGAATTGGACGCCTTGAGAGAGAAGGCATTCCGCGCAGAGAGGCTCCAGTCGGAGCTGACGGCCCTGCGGGAAAGGATACCAGCCTTGGAACGATGCCGGGCGCAACTCAAGGTGACCATTTCATTTTGGCTTTGGATCTTTTTTTTCAGATCTTTGGATCCAAAGCAATGTGTCACGTCCCTGTTGGAGTCTGACTCCAAGGGAGAGGAGGAACAGCCGACAGGGAGTGGAAGTGTGGCTCCGGAGGTTGTGGAGGAAGCTGGGGAAAGGCAGAGGCAGGCTGGGCAGTCAGAGGAAGACCCAGGCCCATCCCCTCTTCATCCTAGGACACGCAGGGAGGAGAGGATAAGGGAGAAAAATTAATGGCGTGGTCTATGGGGGAGGAAGGGGCCCTGATCCCCTTCATGAGCTGCAGCTGTGAGGACTGTTTAAAAGGACAAACTGCGCATGGCCCAGTGCTGGAAGCAAAGAATGTTTTATTCTTGTTGGAGCTTATCTGTGTTTTGGCTTATCTGGTAGAAGACTGCAATTAATCATCCTTGCCTGCCGTAGTAATTCCTTCAGTGTGGTTTCTGTTTGTTTGTTTGTTTTATTTTGAATTAACTTTACTTTGGGTGCGGACTTGCATTTACTCCCTTCGTAAACTGTTTTCTTCAAGAGTTTGATTTCCAGCCAAGGATAATTGGACATTGGGGCCAAGTGGTAGGCATTAAAGAAACTTTATTCTATTTTTGTGACTTGGTTATTTTTTGTGTCATGCCTCGGGTCATCACACAATAGAAGGTGGGAAAAAAATCTCAGGGGAGACGCGACGCTCCCTAGTTTTTGGGGCGGAAAGGGGGGGGGGGGGGGGAGGAGATGTACTTTCAGATTTGCAAGATTGATGTCCGCTGTGCAAGGGGGAGACCAACAGAAGTTCTAGCACTAATTCTATCGCAAGTTTGCAACTAACAGAATCTTCCGGAAGAGAGCGGAGACCCGGGCCTTTGGGGCTTAAAGAAATCCTTTTTGATTCTCGTTCAGGAGGAACGAGACTTCTCCAAGGCCCTGTTGGAGGCCAAAGCCTTGATGGAGGAAGAACTAGAGGCCACTTACGCCCGAGGGCAGCGCCTGAGCCAAGCCGAGAAGGAAAACCTGCGCCTGCAGAACCACTTGAATCAGGTCCAAGAGGTACGGTGGAAAAAGAAGGGGGGGGGTTCCTTCTACTCTATTTTTTTTCTTTCTTTCGTTCCCAGCACTTCTCTGTCCCCTTTCGTACTTCGGAAACTCAGTTAAGGAGGGCAAGCTAGGAATTTGGACAACTTTTAGGGTATGGGGGAGAAGGAGACCCGTTGGTTGAGACGTAGTTGGGAAAAAACACGCCTGGAGAATAGAAATAGAAATAGAAATAGAAATAGAAATAGAAATAGAATAGAATAGAATAGAATAGAATAGAATAGAATAGAAATAGAAATAGAAATAGAAATAGAAATAGAAATAGAAATAGAATAAAATAAGGAATAGAATAGAATAGAATAGGAATAAAATAAAATAAAGAATAGAATAGAATAGAATAAGGAATAGAATAGAATAGAATAAAATAAGGAATAGAATAGAATAGAATAGGAATAGGAATAGAATAAACTAAGGAATAGAATAGAATAAAATAGAATAGAAATAGAATAAACTAAGGAATAGAATAGAATAGAATAGAATAGAATAGAATAGAATACCTTTATTGTCATTGCATTCTACAAATACAATGAAATTTGAAAGCTACTCCAGCACAGTGTCCCAAACACTACATCACAATCACACTACAGAGTCTTTAAAAATTAAAATAATTAAAATAATAATAATTAAAAACCTAGTCTAAAACCTATCTAAAACATATAGTAAGTTAGATAGTTTAAAAATGCCACTATATACATAGGGCTAAATCACACATGCATTGTTTGATTCAAGACAATGATTGACTAGCTGAGGCTGTGAAATTGACTAGCAAACAAACTGTTGGGTTTAATGGAATTTACAGTCCAGTTTGCTGCATATACAGGTTTAAGGTGTGATTGTCTCACCTTGTACTACAATTCTCCTTTTTTTAAAAAAAAAAAACAAATTAAATTGACAGGAGTGAATAGATTCTTTGAAGCACCCCCTTGTACTGTTGCCAAGGTGTTTTTTTTTTTTCGTTTGTTTGTTCTGGATTGGAAAACGCATGGAGGCAAAATCTTGGAATTTCTCAAGTTCTCCACACACTTTGCAAATCTCTTCTCCACCTTTGAGTCTGGTTTCAAAGCAAACAGATGAGGCCGAGAATCAGAGGGGAAAACAGGGAATGGTAGAGTCAATATTTGTGGTTAAAATTTCAATTCCTCAGGAACTGGAGCAGTGTTCTTACCAATCGGAGGAACTTTTGAGGGAGAATTCGCTCCTGAAGAAGGAGCTGCGAGAAACTTTGAAAAATTCCCCGAGGAAATCGTGGTCCGAAGACTCTCGCTGGGATGCAAACGGTGAGTTTTACTTGCCCCGATGTTCAATTCCTTTCTCCCAGATCACCTGGCCTTTATTCCCTACACATTTGCAATTGAAAAAAAATATATGTTTTTTCCCCCTCCCTCCTGGCTGCAGAATTCCCTGAAGTGCCCCTTTTGCTGGACTGTGAGATGAAGGAGGCCGATCGATTGTCAGCCCTAGAGAAGGAGAACGGGGAACGGCGTAGGATGCAGCTTGCGTCGGGATTGAAGAGTACGGAAGCACAGCTGAAGGACGCCAACCTTGATGGGCTGGTATGGAAGAGAGAGAGAGAGCGGTTGGACCCGGTCCTGTCGTTAGGGATTGGGCGTTATGGGTGGTGAGAATAACCTGGAAGAACAGGAGGAAGAGCTGCACTCAAAACAGCAGTCAGATAAGAGAAATCTGAGTCCAGAGCAGAGATGTAATTTGAGGAAGCGCCTCAGATTTTTGACCTTCCCTGGTTCTCTTGAAGGTAAATGCAGGGAGAAGGTGTCCCAAAGATGTTTTTTCAGGAGGCAACTGGATTTTTTGGTTTTTATTTGGAAGACGTTTCACTTCTCATCTGAGAAGCTTCTTCAGTTCTGACTGGATGGTGGAGAATGGAAGGATTGATATTCCTTGCAGGCAGCTGGTCATTTGCATCCTTTTAGAGGCCACTTGGAGGTCTATCTGTGTCCTTGGGGTCACCGGAGTAGTGCAAATGTGTGTGGAGAAGGCTCAGGTGAGGCTCAGGTTTACCTGTGTCCTCAGGGTCACCTGAATAGGCTCAGGTGACCCTGAGGACACAGATAAACCTCCAAGGGGCCTCAACGAATGTCTAAAAGAATGCAAATGACCAATCCCGTTTCTATTTTGCAAATCTGCCCTCTTTTTTTTTTGGAAATGCATATTTTTTTCAAGCAACGCATCAATTGATTTGTGTCCCACTTAGCCAGAACGGCGGCCCAGCCACGCAGAAGACGGGAACACAGATGTTCAAGAACACAAACCAAGGATTTTGGCGCACCAAAAGACCGAAACGGAGGAAGGCCAGGCTCCAAAGCAGGAATCGGAGACCTCCGTAGCTGAAATGAAGGCTGCCTTGTCCAGAGCTCAGGCTCGCCTGCGGGAGTCTGAGCAGACGCGGGAGGCCGAATCAAGACACGCGGCGAGTCTCGCGGAGCAGCTGAGGAGCATCCAAGGAGCGTACGGAGAAGCCCAGGAGGAATGTGAGCGGTGGCACTCGGAGTCGACGCGCCTGGTGGAAGAGATCCAGGCTCTGGAGCGGGAGAAGGAGACGTTAAAAGCCGGATCGCGGGTTCTGCAAGAGGCAGCCACCCAAGCTGAGGTCGACTCGAAGCGGGCGCAGCAAAGTCTTCAGAAGGAATGTCTTCGAGGCGCCCAGCTCGCCCAGAAACTCCAAGGAAAGGAGGAAGAGCTGGCCGAAGCTCAGCAGGAGCTCCAGAACCTGCAACGGAGCGTGGAACGACACAGGGTCACCTCGGCTCAGCTGCAGGCTGAGAAAGGGGCTTTGGAAGAGGCGCTGAGTGAAGCGGAGAGCGGCCGGCGGCAAGCGGACAAGGACAGCCGGCGGCTGAAGGCCCAAACTCAGGTGCAAGAGGAGGCGCTGGCTGAGCAGGGACGCCACCTGGCCCACCTGGAGGCTGAAACGCGCAGGCAGGCCGCCGAGCTCAGCAGCCTACAAGAGGTTCTCCAAAGTCTCGGGGAACTGGAAGAGGAGAACGCGAAGTTGAGGAAGCAACTGGAGGACAAGGAAAAAGCCATCACCGTGCTGGAGCAGGTGAGTGGGGTCCGTAGGTTGTCCTCGGCTTGCAACCGCCACTCGGCTCCCAATTTCTGTTGCTAAGCGAGAGAGGTGTCAAGTCAATTGGGGCCCTTCCTTGCCACGGTTGTCTGACGAATCAGCGCGGCTGTTAAGTGAGCAACGCGGTCGCTAAGTGGACCTGGCTTGCCCCGTTGACGGGAAGGTCAAAGAAGGGGATCGCGGGGAAACGGCAACCGTTGTCAATATGAGTCAGTTGAGAAGTGTCTGAATTTTGATCGCGTGGCTGTAGGGATGCTGAAACGGTCATAAGTGCGAATAGCGGTCATAAGTCTCCTGTGTTTTCAGTGCATTCGAAGGGTCACTGAACGAACCGTGGTAAGTTGAGGACTCCCTGCAATGGATGGGTAAATGGCAGGCCAGGTCTTTGGCTCACGGGATGTCTGATTGCGCTGCAGGAGCTGGCGAGAGAGAAGGCTGGGCCCTCCAAAGACAATGCAGCCGAGTTACGAGACCACCCACCGAAGGAGCAGCAAAAACCTCAGCCAGAGACGAAGAGCAGGTCAGGCTGGAGGGCCCAGCGCAGGAGGGGTTTTGCCAGGCGCTGGGGATGTAGGGTGGGATGGGGCTGAGGCTGGACCCAGGGAATCTCTACGGGGATATATATGGGTCTGGGGGAGCTTTTGTTCTGGTTTTATGGCTTGAGGGTGATGATGGTGTCATTTTGTGAGCGGCTGGGGAGGTTCTGGCAGATAAAAAGGGCAGCCATATCAAGGGAAGGGAAGGGAAGGGAAGGGAGAAAGAGAAAGAAAGAGGAGGAAGGAGGGAGGGTAAGAGGAAGAAGGAAGAGAGAGGGAAAGGAAAAGAGAGGGAAAGGAAAGGAAGGGAGAAAGAGACAGAGAGAGGGAAAAGGAAGGAAGGGAAGGAGGGAAGGAAGGAAGGGAGAGAGGAAAAGACAGAGGGAAAGGAAAGGAAGGGAGAAAGAGACAGAGAGAGAAAAGGAAGGAAGGAAAGGAGGGAAGGAAGGAAGGAAGGGAGAGAGGAAAAGACAGAGGGAAAGGAAAGGAA